CCACTGCTCGCTAAGCGACGGGAACTTGTGTCACTGTGCCGAGGGTCCTTGTGGACCTCGGTGTCAAGTTTCCTAACTTTGATAGAGTGGAACGCTGCCTAGTCTAAGACTTGGATGTAAGGTAATAAATACCTTATCCTTGGTATAGCATAGCTGGAAAACCAGTAACCATAGATTGATTGGAGGTCGAGACCTTATGCGCTACGCGCATGTCTTCTGGTGGAGCATTGGTGAGTCACGATTCCATCTTGCTAGGAAGCAGAAGCGCTATTGGCGCGGTCTCTGGACCGGGACGGACAATGTGCTGGTTATTGGAGTATCCAAGCTGTCAAACACCCAGATGTTTTGAACTGGAGTCCCGAGCGTGGCTTGAGGGCTGAGCGTGGAGTGGCATGTGTGCAGATCAAGTATTGGAGCATTCGCTGCATGTCACGAGTGGCATGGTCGACCAAGGGCCGAGGCATCGAGATCGAGGCCCCAGTGATGCACGTAGAGTGGCATGTAACCCACTGAAGACTGCTCATGTTACGAAGCAGTTGCTACATGCCAAGAGTGGCGTGGTCGGACGCGGTCCGAGCAATCCTGGACATGGCATTTTTGATGCGCGTAGAATAGCACGTAATCCAATGGGTGAAGACTGTGGAAATAGCTGCTCTTCGTCGGATGTTGTTAAAAAATCAAGGCTCCGATGGAGCAGGGGGTGGGGACACTGGACGACGTCAGGTATGTGTTCCGACTGGTCTAGAGGAGACGAAAACCACTATAGAGAGAAGACGGCGAAGCCGCATGTTATCTGCAAGACGGAGGGCATCGATCCTGATCCAGGGTGTGTTACCGTAGACGATGGCGCATAGATATATACCCTTGTCAACGTTATGATGGGAGAAGAAAGACGGCAACGTCACCCTCGATACCATTTCCGCTATGAAAGATTTTTGTTAAATGCCTTTTGAAGAGTTTGGGCGGTGTCTTTAGGTAGGCGATTAAGCCGAGGTGGTCATTATAACACCGAACGAGAAAATTTACTCGTCGTTGCTTGTGAAAGATTCTGTCTGGAGGACACCAAGAGGGTGCTAAACGCACGAAGCGGATTGTCGATCCTGAAAAATCCCTCAGATCCTTATTTTCCTTTGGTTGCACAAGTATAGAACAAATTATGCAGAAA